GGCAGATGTTAGCACAGGGCTGATCTCCTCACAAAATAAATAAATAGATATAGATAGATAAATAAATAAATAAATAAAAATAAGGCTTCTCAACCTGGATCCCGGTGTGTGCTCCTAGGGATGCATGAACCCTCTGGAATTGTCTGGGTGGTGGTGTCTCAGTATAGAATTGCACCTTTCAGGTTGAGGACCCTTGGTTTTTATTAGATTCTCTAGCAGTCCTTCACCCCCCCACCCCAAAAAGCATCAGATGAACCCTCCCTCCTACCTCACATAGTCTCTTTGATCAGTATTTATGGGACAGTGTTAATGAAAATGAAAAGAATTCCTACTTCTTTCCTGGTGTGGAAGATCCAGCAAATGAATAGATTTTTTTTTTTATATTGTGTTTTAGAAAATTTTCTGCAATTTAAGAATATAATCTACTTTGTAATAATTTCAATGGATTTTGAGTTTGGAAGGGCATATGCTTTTTCTAATTCCCTTTGGCCTTTATTAAAAAGTGGGTAAGGCTGGTCCTTGTGATGGTGATTTTAACAATATGTGTAAGAAAAAAAAAGAATCCTAGAGATTTGATTCAGCCAATTTGCAGTAGTATCTAGCAGTTTATATTTTAATTTTTATTTTGAAAAAAATTTCAACAGTTGCAAGTATAGTACTAAGCAGTTTTTTTTCCTGATTCGAGACTAAGCTGCTGAAATGATGCTCCATCACCTCTGAATCCTTTAGTGTGTAATTCCTACAAATGAGAGTTTCTCTATCATAATCACAACTCGGTCATCAGAATCAAGAAATTAACATGCACACTCTGCTACCATGTAAGCCTCAGACTGCATCCAGGTTTGCCAGCTGTCCCAGTAATGACCCTGCTCAGTATCATGCATTGCCTTAGTTTAGGCTCATTCAGCCTGGGACAGGTCTTCAGTCTTTTCTTGACCTTCATGACCGTGACACTCAGCAGGTCACAGGCTCTTTGTTTAGTGGACCGTCCCTTATGTTTCTTCAGGATTAAATCTTGGTTATGCCTCTTTCTGCCTTCTTCCCGTGGTATCCTACCAGACGGCATGTGATTTTGATTTATCCCATTACTGGTTATGCAACTTTCTTATCACTTGATTAAGTTGGTGCCTGCTGGAACTCCTCGCTGTGAAATCTCCCTTTCTTCTTTGTAGTTAATAAGTATTTTGGGGACCAGGTGCTTTGGCTGTGTAAATATTCCTTTCCTCATCAGACTTTCAGTTTATTCAGTTTGAATTCATTGTTCCTTTTTTATTCAGTGGATTATAATCCAATATTATCGTCATTTATCTTGGTGCTCAACTTGTTTCCCATTTAGCCAGCGAGGACCCATTCCCATAGGCTTATATGGCCTTCCATCTTGCTTCCATTATTCTTTGAGTACTTCCTTACTCTGGCTTATCTTATTATTTCCTGTCCCATTCCCGGTATCAGCCTTTTCTCCAAGGAGCCCAGTTCCTGTTAGTGGTTTATGGAATTTAGAAACCGAGATCTGGGTGCTGGGTGTGCTACCTGGAACTAGTGTTGCTGCTCACAGGACCTCTCTCATTGGGCAGAGCAGGAGGATGCTTGCGTGTGCATAATATGTGTATGTGTTTCTATGTGTATACGTACATTCTTGTCTATATTTCTGTACTATCAATATACGTGCATTTACACTCATGCCTCTCATTCCAACCCAATAGGAATTTTCCATGTTTGTAACTCCCTTCTCTTACAGTGAGAATCTTGGTATCCTTTATCTTTAATACATATCCTAATTTGATGAATCCTCCTGTGGATTCTCATCCCTGCCATCAGCACCCTCTCAGTCTCCTTTATCCTGCACCAAGCATTTCCCCACAGGTGTCTGTCCTCCTCACTGCCTGGGCTCCAGCAACCCATACGGGACACCTCTCCATGGACATGCCTTCTTTCCTTGACAGCTCATTCCAGGCCACTGCAGTTCCCCTCATCCTGGAGCAGATGCCAACCTTGCCCAGACCTACCTAATGGCTTTAGGATTGTTCAAAAAGGAATTTCAGCATTTTCAACAAGTGCTTTAGGTTTCAGGTTTGGCCAGCCCGAGGGATGATATACCAGTAACAAAGATTGAGAGTTGGGGACCAGCTGGGGAGATAATGGGATTAAGCTGCTTCCGGGATGCTCAGAGTAGAGCCAACTTCCAGAAGACAGCTGAAAAGACCTATCTGGTTGGAGAAGGGAACTTGAGGGAGGTCACCTGCTGAGAATGAGCAGTGACCAGAAGGAGAGGAGCAGAGCCAGGGCCCTGAAAGTGTGGGGAGGGGTGCCGCCTGCGACAGAGACCCCGCTGGTTGGGCAGAGGTGGGCTGGGTGGTACTGGATGAGGAGTTTCAGGTCGGCGTTGTCAGAAGCTGTGGCTACAACTGAGTGAGAGTTGGGGCCGGGCAGGTTGTAGAGGGCTGGAGCGTGCAGGGGAGACAAAGAAGTGAAGGCCATGAAGTGGCTTGGCTGATGAAGCAAGGAGACCCAGGCTCAATGTCGGGTAGTTCTGCCTTTTTCAAGATGCGAATGGCCAGAGCATGCCATGGCTGGGGAAGGAGTCCTGAGGAAGACCCCCTGCATCGGTTGGTGCAATCAAATAACTTAAAAAGATGCTCCCATTTAGAAGGCAGCCAGTTGATATTTTATACCTGGTCTTAGCATGTTGTGCTCTATCACCAGAAATCAAAAGGTTTTGCATTCACCAGCTTTATTCATTCCAGCTGTTCCACTTCAGCAAGTTACTTAACTGTTTTGGGCTGTAGTTTCCTCATCTGTGAAATGGAGCTAATGATGGCAGCCACCACTTGGCTGGAGGGAGGATTAACTGGGAGTGTGAATATGGCTCAGTGCAGAGACTACCTGTAGCAAGGAGCAGCAGCCACATGCCTACACTCTCCTCCCCACCCTAACTTCTCCCCTGCCCCCAGACTGCCCCCCACAACTTACCAAGGTGCTAGGTGGG